GAAGGATATTTTAATTGATTGTGACTGAAGTGGTCTGAGGCTATCATGGTGACCAGTGCGGCATTAGCAATGAACAACAGCGTGCACGGTATGGTCCGCGTGACCCACTAGTCAGCATGACTGTACAGCACCTGGTATGGCGGTGAGTCGCCCATCTTTGCTAGTCAAGCCAACAGCGCACTCTCCTTCCGTCAGCGCGCCGGCAATATGCTGCTCTCCTCCACCCGCCCGCGCTCCGCCCGCTAGACACCGGGGCACTGCCCCTGCCCCTCCCTCCTCCCGCCAAAGACGCGTCACCTCGCCGGCGCTGAAGGGACCAGTTCTCCCCTTCCCTTCAGGCCGCTCGTGAACTCAGATTGTCGCGCCGGCGGGAGTGGCAGTGAGCTAACCGCCCGAGGAATGCTCCCGGTAGGGCCTGTCATCCGTGATCTCCGGTCCCGCCCTCCAGCGAGCAGCGCGGCGCCGCCAGACACGTCCCGGACAACCGGGATGACATCAGGTGGCACGGATCGGAGCCCGATAGACCCCGCGGAGCGTCCCAGACCTGTGACGGCGCGCCTGACCTTGTGAAGTAGCCGGGCGGCCGCGTGACATCAGGTGGAGCCTGATAGACACCGCGGAACGTCCCAGACCTGTGACGGCGCGCCTGACCTTGTGAAGTAGCCGGGCGGCCGCATGACATCAGGTGGAGCCCGATAGGCACCGCGGAACGTCCCAGACCTGTGACGGCGCGCCTGACCTTGTGCGGCCGCGTGACATCAGGTGGCACGGATCGGAGCCCGATAGACCCCGCGGAGCGTCCCAGACCTGTGACGGCGCGCCTGACCTTGTGCAGCCACATGACATCAGGTGGCACGGATCGGAGCCCGATAGACCCCGCGGAGCGTCCCAGACCTGTGACGGCGCGCCTGACCTTGTGAAGTAGCCGGGCGGCCGCGTGACATCAGGTGGAGCACGATAGACACCGCGGAACGTCCCAGACCTGTGACGGCGCGCCTGACCTTGTGACGTCGCTGGACGACGCCGTGGATTGCTTTGTTGTTCTCGCCAGACGCCACGCGGGAGGCGCCCCTTGACGAGTCGACGTCAATCCGGGGCTATTTTCGCGACTGTGTGTGTGTACGCCCGGCGTGCGCAGCCAAAACCGAGCGAGGCATTGCTGAACACGCGGCAGGCCGACGAACGACGCCTCAGGCAGAGTTGCGCCGCGCCGCCATGGCAGTGGCATTGGTGGCCATGGAGGTGGTGATGACGTGGGATGAGGACGCCGCGGGAACTCGGTCGTGTCCGGTGGCGGATGTGACGCAGACGCTGGGTCGGGACGGGGCAGCCGCGGGCTGGAGGACGGTGAGGATGGGATACGCATAACCGGTTTGAACCGGCTGCAGTGCGCACCGAGCACACGGCGGGCGCGTCGCCGGACGAGTTTCACCGGTAGCGAGAGCCGACTCATAGTATGGGTTGGTTTTACGAGGCGGTTTTTTTCGGGGGGGGGGGGGGCAGGAATGCGTCAGAGGTCTGTGCAGTATGCTGCCGGAAAACGCAGCTTGAGCCTGAGAGCCCAGCGGATGACCATACGCATGTCTGATCCGTGGGAACGCATCCAATCAGGAAAATTTCTGGAGGTCCACGCGCAAATCCAAAGTGGGTTTGGCAGATGTTGCTGGGGTGGTATGGTAGCTCTCCACACAGCGGGCACGCTAGCTTTTCAGTTGAGAACGCTCTGGAATATTGCGCGCAATCGGGTGTTTCTAGCACGCTCTGAATCGTCTCATTTTTCTCTGCTGTGTTCGCGCTTGTCGCGTGTGGCTAGTTTCCTGGCGCTAGACTTCATAGCTTTATTTCGCGACGCACGAGCACTTTTGGACGCCAAGTCGGACGCCGTGGAAGCGCCGATAATCCGTGCATTGAATCAACAATCCGCCGTGGATTGGAGTTGCGGTAATGCCCCGCTGCATGCCCTTCGTAAAATCCCAGATGTCGACATGTTTCACCGGAAGATAATGCATGCAATGTATGGCAAGCTTGGAGTCGCCATCGATATGCCGCTCCTACGTTACTGGTCTGTTCAGGGGGCTTACCACGTCTGTTAAACATACCGCTCTCTGCGAGCGAGCGAGCTGGTCTAAACTCCGCACGCAACAGCGCACGCCGTGTGCGGCTGCCACTCCTTGACGCGTCTCCCAGCTTCCGGCGTGGCGGAACGTGCGGCGATCTCCGCCGGGCTGCTGATCTCCCCAGCGGCCGCGTGGCTCCGCCATCTCCGTGCGTGGGTCATTGGCTCGGGACACCAGCGGCCAACTAGGCACACAATGGTGCTACTTAAACGCCGCACTGGGGATAGCGCGAGAGCAGATTAGTTGGAGATTGGGGAGTTGATTGGTGTGAGGTTGGAGAGCACATTAGTTGGAGATTGGGAGCGGATTGGTTTGAGATTGGGGAGCGCATTGGTTGGAGATTGGGGAGCGCGTTGGTCGGAGATCGAGGAGTTGATTGATCGTAGATTAGAGAACGCGTTGGCTGGAGATCGGGGAGCAGATTGGAGAGCAGGTGGAGTTCTCGCGATGCCTGCTGCAGTGAAGGGCACCCTTCAGTGCCCTGAACTCGCTAGCACCGATGATCTCACCGAGACCCGCCGGCGAGATTCCGGAGTTAAACTCCCGCTGATGGCTGTTACGGCCGTTCATAAACGTCAGTAACTCACAGTTGATGGTGCTTGTGTTACGGCACCAGCTGAATAGCAAGATTATGCCGACAGTGGCTGGGCGGGTCGTCGTCCGGCTGTTTATGTTTTGCAATTGCCGGGAAGTGGTGTCGCTGGGTTCATTCGCGGCAAACGGTTCATACTTTGTTTATTGATGGGACAATTTGCTGTCGCCCAAAGGTAAAACCCCATATGTTAATTTTTGGGCATTTGACGTTTTTATGTCATCTGTTTCGTTTACTCATGCTGATTTGGGCTATTTAAACAATCAGTTAACATTTTCACGAGCTTAAGCCCTGTTCCCGCTAAAAGTTGGTAAAAATTTCAACTGTCGGTTTGAATTCCGCACGCGGCATGAAAAGACGAATCAGCTGACATAAAAAAACGAAAAACGGCCATGAGTGAACATATGGGTTCTTACCTTTGGACGGCAGAGTAGTATGACTAAGACTTCCGTTCACCGACTTAATTCGCTGACGTTACTAGTGTAGAGACTCACTTCATGACTTGCTTCATGACCAGTCCGACGACACCTGGTAGAGTGACTCGCTTCTTTTGAACGCTGCCGCTTTTCAAAGCGGGAGCCGTAACACCCCTAGCCAGTTCGGAACGTGTCCAATTAGACGGCTTTCGTAGGACGCATGCGCACGAATTGGTGGTATTTCTGGAAGCGCTGTGAGTCCGGTGGGCTATTTTTGCCTGGTGTCGTACGGAGATTTTCCAGCATCCGCGTGCAGGCTGGGCTGCGATAAGTTTCCTGGAACACGAAACGGGCTTGATTTAGGCCGTCCCAGTCCTCCAATAAGGTTCGCGATTGCAGTGCAAGCCTCAAACATCGCTTTTGCACGAGCCTGCTCTGGCGATCGTAAGCAAATGTTTGCTGTCGTCTATCCATCACGTCAGATATGAAACCGCTTGCAACATGGACGTCGTAAATTGCAGCGCGCTGACGCCCGCGTAAAACGTCATATGTTTCGATTTCAACATCCCAGATGCCCGACCAATCATCTGTGCCGCTGAAGTGGTCTGCGCCATCGCAGTTCCGCGATTGCTTTCATCGGTAGTGTGCTGTCTATGTTTACGCTGCGAAAATAGAACAGTGGCGGCTCATTACGGATCAAAACTTAATGATATCTTTGATGTCATTAAGTTTTATTTGATGCCATTAAGTTTCATATCGCCAATGATGTCAGTGGCGAGTGTTTGTAAGGAGTCAGTTTAAGTGGTCAGAGGGTCCGTCAGGAGTCAGTTTAAGTGGTCAGAGGGTCCGTCAGGAGCCGTTACAAGTGCTCAGAGGGCCCACAAGGAGCCGTTACAAGTGCTCAGAGGACCCGCAAGGAGCTGTTAGAGATGCTCAGAGGCCACGAGGAGCCCTTACAGGTGGTCAGAAGGACCGCATGGAACCGTTTCAAGTGGGCCGAGTTAGGTACCGGAGTTAGGAGTAAGGGAGCCGAGTTACTGAGCGCTGATGCGTATTCCCTCCCATCCATTGACCATGTTGAGCTAGGGGAGAGGGGAATGGGGCGGGGGGGGGGGGGGGGCGAAAGGGCCAAGCAATTCCGCTGTTCTCACAGGGGCTGAGTAAATTTGCTCACCATTGACTCTGTGCTGTGCTCCTCGCTCTTGTTGTCTGCTTGTATCCCACCGGTATCCCGTCTTTGTGCGTATCTGTGTGCGCGCGTGTGTGCGCGTGTGTGCGCGTGTGTGCGTGTGTGCGTGCGTGGGCGCGTGCGTGCGTCGTGCGTACGTGTCCGGCTCCGTCGGGCTCTCCCTATCGTCTTGTCTGCCCCTGTCCGCACTTGTGGGGGATGTCCGACCTGTCCTGTCGGCGCCGGCGGCCCACCGGGCCGAGGCGGCCACGACACCGGTCGATTTGAGCTGTGTTTACAGCGCGAGCCGGCCCAGCGCCCCGTGCAGGGCGTGATGCTCCCGCTGCCCGGCCAGGAATAGACCAGTTTGAAGAACCGCGCTGGAACATCCGCGTTCTGCACTCAGCCGCTGGATCGGCGCGGCATGTACGCGTCTTCGAGCGGGGGTGGGGGTGGAGGGGGGGGGGGGGGGGGGCAGTGGAGGATATCTGTGGATGCACCGCCTCCTGGCGGTCAGTTGCGCCAAAGCCGCGTGGTGGGGAATAGCCGCCCGCCGCGCTCCGTCGCCCGCTATTGGCGCAGTCGCTCCGCCACTGCGGTGACGTCTCCGGCGCTCGGTCGGTGACGTCACTGGTACTCGGTCGGTGACGTCTGCGGTGGCGCGTGAGCTGCAGCTCTGCTCCGTGGTCTGTCGCGCTGCAGAGGAGCGCGCCGCGCCGGAGATGGACTGGCTTCGCGGTCTCGCCATTGACGAAGGTCAGTACTCGCGATCAGCGGGCCTCGAGGCGGCCGCCCGGCGCCACCGAGCGCACCTGGGCGCAAGCTCGTAACGAAGCAGCTTTGGGGAGCCTCCCAAAGTGTAGGGAAGGAGCCAGTCTCGATATCCTCCAAATGCGAGGCAAGTTTTGACTGCATTAATTTGATATTGACGCTAGGAGCCTGAGCAGCCGGCCGACGTCAACGCACGCAGGGGATGAGAGGAAGGTGCTCAGCCCTGCCGTCCCTCCCACCTAAAACGTACTACGATACATACGCTCTGTATCGGTGTAGTTCAGGGTCCCTCCTTAACGGAAGTGGGGGGGGGACGGAAGTGGGGGGGGGGGAGACACCGGATGTTATGTCTCCCCAGCGTCCAGCATGGGCCGGCTGGTGACAGCGGCGATCGCATTGTCTGAGCAGTTCGAACCTCACCCAAGCAATCGGCTGACCGCCTTATGTATTCCCCCAGATCGTCGTTTGTCCCCTGTCGTCGCATCCTGGTAGTAACCCACACACAGAGCGATAACTAACGTACGTGTAACACCGTCAGTGTCAGTGGTGTAACCTGCATACGGAGCAATAACTAACGTACCCGGATGCAGACCAATAACTACCGTACGTATAACACCATCGGACATCATCAACCTGACGAGATGATTCAATGGCAGATCGGCTGCTTTCTCCTCGTCACATTTGAAGCGCTGTGCGATTATCGCGGTCAACACCCCTAGCGCGGAGGAGTGGGGACTTCCTTTCACGCGTGGCGCGGATCTCACTGGCGCTGTCCCTGGTCACTCCGCGCTGTTGTCATGAGCAGGCGACCTGGCTACGCTGACCTGATCTCCTTTGGCGCCGGCCTGGCCAAGCTTTGGTGCCGACCTGGCTACGTTGACCTGATCTCCTTTGGCGCCGACCTGGCTACGCTGACTTTATCTCCTTCGGCGCTGGCCCTAGTCACTCTGCGCTGTTGTCATGTGCAGGCGACCTGGCTACGCTGACCTTATCTCCTTCGGCGCTGGCCCTAGTCACTCTGCGCTGTTGTCATGTGCAGGCGACCTGGCTACGCTGACCTTATCTCCTTCGGCGCTGGCCCTAGTCACTCCTGCGCTGTTGTCATGTGCAGGCGACCTGGCTACGCTGACCTTATCTCCTTCGGCTTTTTCTGTTTACCTTAGCGATCGACGGCTCCGACCGGTGGTGCCGGTCTGCATTGGCCGTGGCGGCAGCGGCGCCTTTCAGCGCTCCAGGCGGGCGTTTAGTGTATATGTGTACTTACACCGTTGGCGAAGACCGCGATATGGCAGGTGTGGAACCGGACACACGGACTTTCGTTGAGATGGCTATGACTTATTATGTTTTACCTTCGGCAAACGGCCGTTCTGAAAGCTCGCTTTACCACATTCATGCCCCACACATTGATGACATACACATAAAACGTCAGATAGCTCGCTGCTTGGTAAAGGCAAATGAAAGTCGTATCCATATGAAATATTACAATTGCGCACATAATCAGAGGGTGTGCCAGTGGATAGGCCGTATACAACCGGCCGAATGTAAAAGGTTATTATAGGTTCTTGACCCTGAAACTACGGCGTGCTCATCTCGCGTTATTTGAAATACGTGACACCGCACACCAGAGCCGCGGTAGTGGTGCATCTATTTAGTCGTGGACCCCATTCAGCAACAATAATAACATTCGTTTGCTGCAATGTTAGTTCATACATGCAAGCGTATCAAAACGCAGTGGCAATGCATTCTCTTTCCCATAGGCCCATGCATGGTGTTATTAACCTGGATAAAGCCAGGATAGAGATGAATGCTTGTATTGCTATAACGTCCTGCTCAGCCCATCAATCAGGAGCGCCGTTAATTCCAGACAGGCAGTCGGTCATGTTCATACCGTCAATCAGCAGCGCCATTGGCTCCAGGCAGGCAGTCGGTCCTTCTCGACCGTCAAGCAGTAGCTCCGTTGTCTCCAGACAGGCAGCCGGCCCTGCTCAGACCATCAGTCAGCAGCGCCATTGGCTCCAGACAGGCAGCCGGCCCCGCTCAGACCGTCAGTCAACAGCGCCATTGGCCCCAGACAGCCAATGACTCCGCCCCCGGCTACCCGGCCGGCCACTCCACAGGCCGCCGGCACCCCGCGGCACCGCCTGGCGTGCGAGAGGGGGTCGAAGCCGAACCCAGCCCTCTTCTCACGGTGTGCATGGCATCATGGCTCAGCCGAGGTGGGTCCTAGGTGGAGTCAAAGGTATGCCAGAGGCACACCTCCCCCGCAATCCACGTAATCCGCCCACAGCCAGCAAACGCGCTCTCCTGTCGCGGTCAATTAGGGAAGGGCGGGAGTGGAAGAGCGGGGAGGGGGGAGGGGGGTAGCTCCACCGTGCGTCAGATTGAACCTTGGTCGGTTTGGGGCGGGCTTCTCACACCTGCGCGGTCGAACGGATTTCCGTCCCGCCCCAGAATTGACATGGCTGTGGCAACGAAAGCTGCACCGGCGCTGCGGCGTTTAGCTGTATTAAGCCAGCATTCCGGAGCGGCGGTATAAGTTGCTTTCGATCGGCCAAACCAGCTAATGGGAACAAAGCCACTGGGCGTGGCATGCGATGCCCAGCAGTCCGCACGGCCGAGATTAGTGTGAACAGCTCTGCCTCCGTCAGCTCAACAGCTCCGCGTCGTCCGAGAGCAGTGCAGACCGCGCGCAATCGAGCCTCTCGAAGTGTATGAAGTATCTGTTTGTATAGCCTAAGCCTTCTTGAACTACTTGATGACAGCCAAAGCATCCCCATAGAGGTTTCTTCATCTGACTCACTTTAGCCAGCTCGACCTGTGATGTCCTGCACGCTTCGCGTGATATGAACAAGCACCATGCGTAGTATGTCACGATGCACCCCGTAAATGCCCAACAGCCGTTTGGGGCTCATATTCTGCGATAAACGTGCGACATCGCGCCCTTAAAGACGTGACCTCGGTCAAGCGGTCACCGCCACTTTGGAAGTCATTAAGCGTGCGACATCGCGCGCCTAAAGACCTGACCTCGGTCAAGCGGTCTTCGCCACTTTGAAAGGCAGTGATGACTTGCGATCGATGATAGATAGCACCTGTATTTGTCTGATAGCATGAACAAAGTTCACAGCTCAGCTAGTGAACGTGTCAGCATCATGAGTTGGGGTTCAACAGTTTATCTCAACAACACCTCGGCAGACTTCACCCCCTCCCCCCCCCCCCCCCTCCTCCCTCCTCCCCTATCCGATGAGGGCTAATATTACGGCGGACAAGATGACTTATATTAAGCAGTCATCTTATGACCTAAGGCGCTGCATGGTAGTGACCGAGTCTGAAAGTATGTTTTTCAACTTTTCAAAACGTCCGTGGCTTCTAGCCCTCTCAGACGGGTTGATATCCTCAGCTACATCCGCGTAAGTTCTCTTGCATGTCTCCTGGCCGGCCATAGCTGAATACAGGGGGTGAAGGAGACCACACAACATGGAACGATATCTCACAGATGATTGGACTCGGAGATGTGGCTGCCAATCAACAGCTGGAGCCCAGTGTGCTCCTGTCTTTCCCAGGCTGCCTAAATGGAACTGTGTTAGCCAAACCATCTGAGAACTACGAAAAGCAAAAGTATTTGTCATTGAGTTGTCATGTCATTGTCATTGAGCTGTGGTGATGCCTTGATTTATGTTTGGATGCAATTTTTTATTCGCAACAGGAGACTACCGTGTTCGTGCGTATCCAGCGTGCTCGAAATACCTACGCGGGCGGAATTACGTAGTCTTTTCGCTCCGATTACAGGTGCGTTCGCAGCCACCAATCAGGAGATGGAACTTTCCTCACGACCGCTTGTGATTGGTCAAAATGCCCGTACTAAGCAGAAAGCACGCGATCGCGCGAAACGAACATTCCATGGAACGAACCTGTTATTCGAAACACACCTTGCAATGCAGCACGCATGAAGACGCATTCCTTCTTTGCGGGGCGAAGCACGCATTCGTGGTATTAGCAGGCAGAAAAAATTCAAAGCGGCCATTACAACATACCGAGGTCAGGAAACCGCATGCAATTTCCCACCAGGTGGCACGCATAAGCCGACATGCGGTATTTTGTGAAGTTCTCTCTCGTCGGTCGTGAGTCGGATTCGGTGCGTCTGTTAGCTGTCCCGGATGTTCAGGAGGCTGAACACATGTCTATCCCGCATGTTCGGGAGTCTAGACACTTGTCTGTACCGGATGTTCGGGAGTCTTGACGTGTATCTGTCCCGCGTGTTCGGGAGTCTGGCCGTCTGTCCCGGATGTTCGGAGTTCCAGCTGACCCCGATCAGTGAAGCCGGTCAGGTCTTGTCCGTTGACCTCATCGGTCACACTTTTCATGTCGTGAGAGGCCTCCTGTGCATGGTAGGATGGGGCGAGGTCTGTAGATTCAGGACAGGGAGTGTGGCTCGCTGCTCACTGAGCGGAGAGTTCTTACGAACCTACAGAATATATGGGCGGGACTTTTGTAAGTTGTTCAGTGCATTAGTGAGGAACATAAGTCACACAGATAAGACGTTAGTATTAGCCTTATTCCTCGGAAAAGCCAGGAAAATGAAGGCAAAGGTCTGTATCTGAAGCTATAATAATAACAAAAGAAACTATATGTATATATTTTTTAATAAAAAATTAAGCTAAAAAACAAAAAGAAAAATTGGAAAATAAACTAGATAAATAACAATGTAATAATAAGATTTCCATAAGCTATAAACTATATCTCCATTCTCCTGGTTTTTCCGAGGAATAAGGCTAACAGCCCTGTCTTAGCGGCGGGACTTTGGATGAAGGCTGGTGATTGAACGGTAAGTTAACCGTGAACATTTCGGAGGCAACACCTTCAGCATAAGATGAAGACGGAGGAGGCTGGATGAAAGAGCACACCGAAGTTTGGTCTTCTGGTCTGGAGCCAATGCATTTTGACCCAAACGCAATCCGTTCAAATGTTGGCTTCAGGCTCAGCGATCCGGATCCTGAATAGTGCGTCAAACGCTACTCGTAGGTCAATTGTGGGGAAGTAACAATCAGCAGATCAGTGAAATTAAAGTTTTGAACGCACGGAAACAATCTTCGAGTGTCATGATGATAATCGTAATTAATTGTTCAACGTATGGACATCAGCGAAGGGTTTTTAAGCTCAGACACGCACGTATAAGTGTCAGTCAAGTCTAAAAAAATCAGACAGCACCTGAAGGTTCAAGATGAGCAAGATATTGATCTCGGAAACGTGGTGACAGCAAAGATTGAAACTACAGTGGGTCACCGTCCCAGATTCAATAACTGCCGTGGCATCATATATATATATATATATATATATATATATATATATATATATATATATATATATATAATATACACTCCGCATATGTTTTATCGTCTAACGCGAACAAAGATGACTTTCGAGTAGACTAGTATGTCCATGTATCCGCTGGTTGACTCTGACTGCATCAGACCTGGCTGCAGAGTCTGGCTATGTTGATGCCTGCCATAAGGTGCAGGCGGCCCTCTGTGATGCTTAATGTGGACTGCCCCCGCCAAGAGCTTGTTCCTGGGAACATCCCCGTTGCAGGTCACAGGCTCTGGCGAATCCTTCTCAGTTCCGTTCCGGTGATTTCAGTTGGTTGCTTATCAAACGGCAGTCATGTTTGGTGTGTTTGTGTTTGTTTTTGAGCCCGTCGCCTGGAGGCTGAGCGAGTCGGCTGGGAGGGTAGTACCCCGTATGCGGGGAACGCGACGAGGAGACCAGACCCTGGCATGTCCGTGGTCTGGTCACCTCGGCTAGGAGGGAAGTATTACGGATGCGGGGAACGCGGCGAGGGGACCAGACCCTGGCCGGTCAGTGGTCTGGTCGGCTCGGCTAGGAGGGTAGTACTACGAATGCGGGGAACGCGGCGAGGAGACCAGACCCTGGCGGGTCCATGAGACCAGACCCTGGTCGGTCAGTGGTCTGGTGGGCTCAGCTAGGAGGGTAATACCACGGGCGCCGGAGGGTAGTACCACGGACGCGGAGGACGCGGCGAGGAGACCAGACCCTGGTTGGTCAGTGGTCTGGTCGCCTCGGCTAGGAGGGTGGTCTACTGATGCGGAGGACGCGGCGAGGGGGCCAGACCCCGGTCGGTCCGTAATCTGGTCGGCTCGGCTGGGAGAGTAATACTACGGGCGCCGGAGGGTAGTACCACGGACGTGGAGGACGCGGCGAGGAGACCAGACCCTGGCCGGTCGGTGGACTGGTCGGCTCGGCCGGGAGAGTAGTGCTACGGACGCAGGAGGGTATTACCATGGACCCGGGAGAGCGGCGAGAGGGCCAGGCCCTGGTCGGTCAGTGGTCTGGTCGCCTCGGCTAGGAGGGCGGTCTACTGATGCGGAGGACACGGCGAGGGGGCCAGACCCCGGTCGGTCCGTAATCTGGTCGGCCACGCGGCAACGCTCGGCTTAAGCTTTCCGGTCGGTGTCCAGCAATCATCCAGTCATCCGATCATTGATAATCGTTCCTGCCTTTTTTGTACACATCGGCTGGGCTCTCCAGTGGTCGCAGACTGCTGCCCTCGGCGCACAATGATGCTGCCATATTTGTGCCATTTTTTGTTTTGGTGCAGGGTTTGTGCGGTCGTGTCCAAACCCGTGCTTTCCGTCCTGGTTAAGCATAGATATCCCTACCTCAATCGTCATTAACATCCACGGGAATACCACCGAGAGACCTGCAGCTTCGCAGAAGCCTGTAAAGCCTAGGTGGTGGAGGAACTCCCCACCTGAAGCCCGATCAAGCCTGCCGAGATTTGTATCGATGCTGTCCCCCGCCATGCCGTAGTCTTATGGACTGGGGTTTGGCGGGGCGGATAAGCCGCTGTGCTACTGCGAAGGCGAGTTGAGCTGGTCAGTGCAAAATTTCCCGGCCTGGCTTGATTCTCATTCGTATACTTTAGACCACTGCGATGGAAAACCTGGAATACGCAGCGCAAACCGAAGACTTCCCTGAAGCCACCGCCAGAAACAGTGTAATGAATCGCGTGAGATGTGGCAGCGGAAAAGGTCATGGACACCTCATTTCACCTGACCACATCGTCACATTGTCCTTGCTGTGCGCTTGCCTGCAAGATCACATGATTTTTACTGTGGTGCACGTGCTGTGTTGTGCCGGGCGCTCACTATAGGCGGAGCACGCTCTCCGCCATGGCAGCTCGTAGACGCCGGGCCATGGCCAGCGGCGGCCGCACTCGCCACGCCGCTGCAAAAAACCGTCGCTAACAGCTCGGCGATGGTGATTTGGGCAGGGGCGGACTCAGGCCGGTTTACACGACGGCATAAGCGACGCCAGGCTAGCCAGTCCCGACGTCTGGGATTGGCAGCGATGAGTCGTTAAGAAGTGCGGGTTCTCCCTTTCACCGTGCGTTTGTTTATTGCATTCCGTGATGTTCTGGCGCTGGCTTGAGATTTTTGGTGCTGGCGCATAGTGACGCCTATGTTAAATGCTACCAGACTCAGATGCGTGTGTGGTGAGGCCTATGTGAAATGCTATCAGGCTCAGAGGCGCATGTGGGAAGGCCTATGTTAAATGCTACCAAGCTCAGAGGCGTATGTGAGGAGTCTCATCTCTAGCATGTCAACCACCAGCTCAGAGCTCCGGCATCATCCCCCCCCTCCCCCCTCCCCGCTCAGAAGGCGCCAGGTCGTGGGGGCTCTCCGCCAAAGACGTCACCATTTGCAGACGTGGCGGCCTGACTCGGTCGCGCACGTCACGGCGTTCTGGTGTGTTGACATAGCTGTCACGCACGTCGGAGGCCTTTAATGTGGCGACTTAATTGGGCCCCACACGTCATGGTTTCCTGGTACGCGGATACAGCCCCGCGCGTGACAGTTTCCTGGTGCGCGGACACAGCCCCGCGCGTGACAGTTTCCTGGTGCGCGGACACAGCCCCGCGCGTGACAGTTTCCTGGTGCGCGGACACAGCCCCGCGCGTGACAGTTTCCTGGTGCGCGGACACAGCCCCGCGCGTGACAGTTTCCTGGTACGTCGACTCGGTCAGACACATTACCACTGTCCGCCGCTCCGTGGTGTCCGCCACGGGCTGTCAACGGATATCGCAGGGTCCGTCTGCCGGCAGAACATTACTATTATCCGCCGCTCCTTGGCGTCCGCCATTGGCTGTCAACGGATTTCGCCGAGCCCGACCGCCGGCAACCAAGCTCGACAAATCATTTCAATTATCTGCCGCTGCCTGGCGTCCGCTACTGGCTGTCAACGGATGCCGCAGAATCCTTTTGCCGGCATCTAAGCTCGGAAGAGCGAGCCCCAGTTCGCTCTGCCTGTCCCACCAGGGCTGGTCGCTCTGCCCAACACATCTTCCATTAGCTCCACCGACGTCTCATGTTCGCAGTCGATCATAGATCTTGACGGCGGTCGTAACTCGACAAATTAGAAGCCAATCATCGTTTCGCTCGAGATCAGCGCCAGATGATGGCCGCGTAGCGCGGCTCGTGGGCCATGTAAGATCAACGAGACGCTATCCTGGCAGTGGCAGCTGCAGCACGGCCGCATGCCGGAGGGGGGGGGGGGGGGGGCGAGGGCTGCCGCGCTTGTCACGACGAGCCGCCTCTGGAGCCGGTCTGACACCACCAGCCGCCTCTGGAGCCGGCCTGACGCCATTGGCCACCTCTGGAACCGGCCACCGCTGAAGCTGACTGAGCACACGCGGCCGTGCCGTGCGCAAGTGCCCGCCGCAGCGGCCGCCTGCACACAGACCGGCGCGCTGACAGGTGACCGACCGCGCCCCACTGTCGCTGACAGGTGGCCGACCGCGCCCCACTGTCGCTGGCAGGTGGCCGACCGCGCCCCACTGTCGCTGACAGGTGGCCGACCGCGCCCCACTGTCGCTGACAGGTGGCCGACCGCGCCCCACTGTCGCTGACAGGTAGCCGACTTTCGCCCGGCGGGCCAACGTCGAGCGGCGGCCAGCGTGAGGTCGCGGACCAGGCTGTCGGGCCGGCGGTCTCGCCGATATCGCCGTCCGCCCGGTGGCGGCAGCTGATATCGAGGCGGCGATTGGTGGCGGCGTGTTGTACGCCGGATGACTTGTTCTTCCTCGCCGACAATCACGTCAAGTGAAATGATATGTTACACAGCAATCAAGAAATTAACGTTGGACGTGCCAAATAGACATTTGCAGTGCCTGGTGTTTGATGAGGAGTATTTAGCAGCAGACATGCCACAATGAGATAATAAACAGGGCAGTTAATGCACGCGTTGGAAGAAGATGTAACTCTACATGGCCCGGGGACAAGCGAAAGGTACTCAAAATAAAGTCTGAGACTAAACAGCGTGATTACCGTCGCCCCGACGTGCTCACTCTCATACATACTTAGGGGGTGATGTTTGTGCCATCTGCCCTTCTCTCAGACGAGGCGGCCGTCTGTGCCTGTCTGTAACTGTAGCTAAAGCGTATGCCACCACGTTCTGTGACCAAGGGATGATGCGTCACCTTCCTCCCCTCCCCAGCCATGTGTTCCGGACATGCCACGCCCTACCAGATAGCCGTGTTTCCGAGCCGTAGCGAGCGCTGTGTGCACTTCGGTACACATGGTGTTCTGCCTCTGTTTGCCACGGTGCTTGTCGATGTGCCACCCTGTGGCCGGCTGCGCTTCAGCCAGACCAGGTCTGACCTCCAGCTCACCTAAGGTCAACACCTTTCGGACCTGCGCTGTCCTGTGGCCGCGGCAGGACAAGCTGCGGGACCATGGCTTACCTGTGTCTGGCAGTGTTTTAGTGGCCGCTGTCGCCGTGCTGCCCGATGTCTGGCAGTGCTTTAGCAGCCCGTCTAACCTGGCGTCGCGCTCTGTGCTCCGGCAGTATGGCGGGCTCCGGACCTGAGCTCCCTGGTCGCCCAGCAGAGTCCGTCGGCCTCCGACTGCTCCGCGCCCGCCGACCCGGCCATGACCCCCGTCGACTCGGAGTCGCGACTGCGCGACTCCGAGTCGACGAGCCGGCTACCTCCGGACGTGGAGCGGGCCGAGGTCGAGGCCTGGCTGGACGACCACCCCGACTTCACCAAGGACTTCTTCATGAGGTGAGGCGACAGGCGCCGGCCGGGCCTTAGCGATTGGATGGGATGGGATGAGATTGGATTGGATGTAATGTAATGGAACGGAATGGAATGGAATGGGACGGCGGGGGATGGGATGGGATGGATGGGATGGGATGGGATGGGATGGGATGGGATGGGATGGGATGGGATGGGATGGGATGGGATGGGATGGAGCGAAGGAGAGGGGGGAGAGAGAGCGGAGGGGGATTACTAAGCTGGCGGTCACTCCGATTACTGGCAGGGATGTTTTGCCAGTCATGATGATGCCTAATGCGGCCCGTGCTGAGCTTGCGCCGCGTAGTGGGCTGACTTTGCGGGATTTTGTCCAGTGTTCCGCGACTGGTTGTGCGGAACATCGTGCTGTGTTGTGGGGCTGATGGTGCGAAACACCGAACTGTGATGAACACTGGTGCGTCGCTGGCTGTTGGCGCTGAATATCATGGATCGCCTTGGGCCGGGAATTTTCGATTTTCAGTGTTTTCTTTTTCAGCATTTTTTTATAGCATTTTCAATATTTTCAGTGATCAGTATTTTGCTAACATGTAAGAGGAGTTGCTTTGGTGCGTGACAAGCGCAGAAATCAATGTTATTTTCAGGGGGACAAAAACTCTATCCATCGAAAGGTCACTGTTGCTGTGGAGGCCTTGAGTGCACTCTGGTTCCTGTTTCTTGGCGACGCCAACTGCTATGCTTGAATGGCATCTCCTTAGCGTGCCGTATCGAGGCCATAACTGAGAAGAAGAGTGCCTTCTGGGAAGGAATGCCTCTTGAAAAGTGGTAATAGATGCCTCCTCCGGAGAAACAATGCATGGCTTCCCAAAGATTGAGAGGCTGCTAATTTTTTTTAGAATAAAGTCTTTCGGTAGCTGGTGGCCTTGAGCACGATTGCTACCAAATGCTGTTATTTGACGGAACATGAAAGCGAATTCAAACCCATTCTTCCAACCATGCCTGGGTTATGACATCGAAGAATAGCATGAAGACCATGATGAGACAATGAAAAAATATCCTCATACTTCGAGGTCATAGTTTCCCGCTTATGGCCGATACGGAGCCACCAAAAGCCGCTGTTGGTGACTTAGTCTGTCAGAAATGGGTCATACCTGGCTTCACTTAAGCGAAGGTCATTAGAGCTGAACATGGTCATATTCGTAAACCAAAGGTCAGACAAACTTAAATGAGCATTTTCCGAACTGTTTGCGTCGGTGGCCTTGACTTCGGAGCGCGTGCTAAGCCCAGCCCGTTGCATACACCCTGGGGCATACCCCACGTTGTGCTATCCAGCCCACCGGATGACTTTGCCTGCTCCCCTTCGCCAGACAGGAATGCGGAGGGCTTTACGTACCGCGCAATGCTGAATTACGGCCACCCACGCTGGGTTTGACCTTAAGTCAGCTGCCAGCTGCCGCTTCCACTTCAGTCGGGTCAGATAATGTGCCCACCCTGGAACTTGTACCCAGCGCCGCTGGATTACGAGTCCAGCATCGCTCCCCTAGACCGCGGAGACGGCCGTGGTCCAGAGGGCATGTCTCAGGCCCGGCAATGCTCCTTCGTGCATCACGGCACCGGTGTGATACATCACCTGGTAGCAATGCAACATGCTTTAGCTGCCCTCTTAGACGTGCCCCATTCATTGAGGAGAGTGGGTGTTTGCAGTGCAAAATCTTCAGCACGAAGGCGGATTCCCCACTGTACGTGCCAATGCATGCATGCATGTATTATGCATGCATTACGTAGGCATGCATGTAAACATACGGTATACACGCTTTAAGCCATCACCGTTCTCATTTTATATTTATGCGCCATCTGGTGCATCCAGCGCATAGTGTGCATAAATGTTTACAGAGACCATCAGCGAGCATTATGCACTGACCCATTGCTAATTATAAACCGACACCAATGGTGGTACGAGGCAAGGGGCCGCTGGGAATCCGCCGGTACCTGAAATCAGAGACCGCAGCCCATACAACACCGTTGCCAGAATTTTTGGACAGACTCGCATTCCCAGTCTCCAGGTCTTCCCACGTTTGAAAGCCCACGCTTCAGTACTACAAAGCCAATGTTCAACGTTGACCGCTCTCAGCGTGCACCAGTGTGGGACCCTGACCGCTCCAGCGCGCTCCACCCGACCGGGCCGGACGGGCGGCCCTTCGGCGGGGGCTGGCGCCGGCTCAGCCGAGCGGCCGAGGGCCGAGATTACCTGCTCGGCCACGGGCTCTTGGAAGCGAGCTATTGTCTCGCCGCGGCGGCGGCTGCGCACTCCCTGAGGCTGACCGGCGTGTTGGCCCTCGACTGAAGTTACTACCGTCGGACCGATACATGCTTTTCCTTTCAAGTGGCTACACTGTTTGGCTTTTAGCGAACGCCTTTCACCTCTTCAACTAGTGTACCATTACCTAAGTATCTGTAAATGTTTTTCTCTCAAATTCGTCACTTGCCGGCATTTGCAGCTGTGATATTTGAGGTTTGAAGCCAGTGTTGCCGCCGGTGGCTGGGGACTGCACCCAGTTCACCAGTTCAGCAGTTCACCAGTTCGCTCCACGCGGACGCCATAGCTGCGGCGATCAGTCGCCCGCGCCCCAGTGAAAGGCGGTCGGAGACCTGACGCCATTGGCATCGGTGACGCATTGGGCTGGCATCGGGTGACGCATTGGGTTGGCATCGGGTGACAGTCGTGGCATCGGGTGACAGCTGGCATCGTTAGTGTCGGATGACGACCCACATCGCGGCTCCTCGACCTGACTGACGGACAAGTCGGAAAAAGCATGCGAGGAATGCAAGGAATGCAAGCTTCACCAGGGGGTCGGCTTGCTGATTTGAAAGCATTTCTGCATCGTCACGGCCCGCTGACGTCGGTCAGATGACGACACGCCGCGCACGCGACCCGTTACACGCGCTCTGTCGTCAGCCCTCCAGCCGGGCTTCCACTCTGATACCTCACGCACCGTCGGCTTTCTGATTTGTGGATCGGCATGAGAAACTGTGGGTGATGCAATCAGTCGCTTCGCTATCTTGTATCGGTTTCGGTATGTGGCGAGGTGACATCTACTGACCTTTGCATGGCTGGACGTATCTACGTGTGCCGTATCTTTCAAGCTTTGCGGGCTTAAATCTCGACCTCGTGCATGCATTTGGGAGGATAAAGAGTTTGGCTTCAGCGGATTTAGCCTAAAGCTTATGATAATCTGCGAAACACGCTTTAAATCGGTTTTATGTACGACACCAATTTCGTGATATCTGCTCCTCTCCACAGACTTCTCCAAACATAATGCTCAGGACTGTGATAAAATAGCTGAATAAATCTTTCAATTTGGTTTCAATCAATCTTTCAAATCTTCCTTGGATACCCAAGGTCTTTACTGAAACTAATTTTACTCAGTGGTTGTGTGCTCTGCCATACCATTTTAAGGGAATGTTTCACATTTGAAGACATTGAAGCAAGCACCAGATGTGATAAAACACGCTCACTTAAAACTGTTGGCATGCTTTTACGTAGAAAAGGCTACTCTATACAGCACAATGTTTTGGTCTTGTAGACATGTTCCCCGATCCGTCATTGTTTCATCAAGTCATCGTGCCTTGCACAACATTGATTTAGAGCCAATTAACGAGAGTTATACCTGGAAATCGCGCTCACGAATGCCAGGTATGAGCGGCACGACCATTACATTTTTAATCGGCCTTGATCGCTGCATGGCGTATCGAATGACAGGATTTGAATGACGTTAACATGGTGCCATGAATGCCAAGACGGCCGTAAAATGCTCTCCGCGAAAAAGTCGCCCCATTTTCGCGGGCGTGTAGCTCAGAAGCTAGGGGGTTCAGGTCTTGAAGAAGGGCAGGGCTGTGAACGGCGCCGAGCGGTCTTCAAGATGACGACTTCAGTTCAAACCCCCATACATATTTGGAACGCTCCGTTTAGTCGCTCTCTAACCCGGAATGGGTGTGCACATGTTTCAAACATATCAGGCATGAAGATCCGGCATCTCACGGACTTGTTGCCACCAGGTGGCCAGCGCAGCTTCAGAATCGCACACACGGGGCAGCGCGCTGGCTTGAGTCCGGTCGTTCCTCGGTGGCCTGGGGGAGGGGGGGGGGGGGAGGCTTCCCGTCACGTGTGCTCCGCAGTCGGGTGGTTTGTGTTCAGTCATTTGTGCTCCAGAGTAGGACCGTCTGCGCTCTGTCACCTGTGCTCCACAGTCGGGTGGTCTTTGTTCCGTCGCCTGTGCCCCGCGGTCGGCGGTCCGTGTTGTCACCTGTGTTCCGCTTGAGTGGTCTGTGTTCCGTCACCTGTGCTCTGCTCGGGTGGTGGCTGCACACTGACCGCGTATCGCCACAACGACCGCGAAGGCGTTTCGGGCGCGCGGGCGCTCGTGGTGGCGCAGGCGGCGCCGGCCGGCCGGTCGGCACTGCGCGCCGTCCGTCCGGCACGTGCCGCGCCGCCGGCACCGTCTGACCCTTGACCCCGGCGCGCGCGACATCTGAGGGGCTGCCCGCTGCCGGTCGTCGGCCGTCTGTTGCTGCCTCTGGTAAGCGACCGAAGCGAAGAGCTGTTTGCTTCGTTCGTTGCATAAACTCGCGCCATGGTGGTATCACGGAGTAGAGCAATGACGCAAGAACTCAGTGATTTAATTATATTTTTTTTCATTGCAGAAGCATGCATGTGGTTACGCTGCTGCTTGTCGGTCATGCAAACGCGTGTTTCATCTTCCCACAAAGCAGAGGGTCATTTGCCGAGCGATGATACAGGATGGTCTCATTGAATAACGTGGGTAATGATGCCAAACAATAGACGTTGTAGCATGAACATAAGCCACCACGTTTGCAAAGGGGAAAGAGCTGAGGCTTAAAGCTTTTGCTGGGGTCAGCGGAAACTTCGCATTTTATTTACCTGGATTATCACAATACCGCGACCCGATCAACAGCAACGATGGTCGTGGAACACCTACCTTCAGGGACCGAATATCACTGAACCACATGAA